GGTAAAACATTACTTTTCATGCAGACTCTCTGATGCATACGTTTCATATAAACATCTCGAAATATTTTTATTTGGTAACGTATTTATGGTTTTGCCTACATATTTTCTCCAATATTTTTTGTAAAATCAACAAGGTATACAAAAAAAAATGCTTAAGAAATCAGAGAAATGATGTTTACATTTACATTTATGGATATGATGATTTCCACAGATAATAATAACTTAAGAATGATTAAGGATCAATCAAACTTTATGATACATTCATGTTTTCATTGATGCTACAAATGCAGTTATTTTTTTTCTGTGAACTGCTAAGTTCACGCTCACGTAAGCTTATTTCCAAGGATTTATTAAAACTGAAAGCAATGTAAGAGAGTGAAAAGTCAACCTGTAAAACAGACTTTAGTTAGTGAACCAGTTCATAGAGGAGCTGGAATGTCCCACGCTTAAGGAGGAGTCCTGGTAGAACAAATTTCACCATCCAAGCTCACAAAATAGATAACTTTTTCGATATTATAGCTCAGTCTGTTCTATTATATGTCTGTATTGTATGTCAGTGAATGAAAGACTTTTAAAGACTCTTCTGTACCTCCGTAACACGGTCGTTTGCCGACTGTGAGCCGACTGTGAGCCGACTGTGAGCCGGCACCACATCACAGTGGTTAGACAGCGTGAAACAGAACTCTATAAACGCCAATACCGGCCCTGCTCTGGGCCAGCGCTGCTTACTGACCGCTACTGTGAGCCGAGTGAGAACGACTTACAGCCAACTCCGGACCAGAGTTGCTGCTGTCTGGGTAGCTAGCTGCATCCAGTGGTCAGGAGTTGGGCTCGGCCCCTTAGTTCCAGTGAAAGGAACTCTTAATGCTTCAGCAGACCAAGAGATTTTGGACAATTTCATGCTCCCAACTTTGTGGGAACAGTTTGGGGGACGGCCCTTCCTGTTCCAACATGACTGCACACCATTATTATTATTATTATTATTACACCAGTAGCCCAGGCAGTGCTCAAGTTACTAGAGGTAGGAATCTCTAGGCACCTCACAACTCTGATCAGTGTGTGTATGTGTGTATATAAAGCCTTCCCACAAATACAGACATAAAATTGGAGAGAGAGAGCAAGACACACAGACAGAGCTCCTCACCAGAGCAGAGGGAGATGGCACAGGCCACCAGTGAGTAGCCGGTGTTAAGAAGGATGACCTGATACTTCTTCAGTTGTAGAGCTGGCTGGAAGGTGGGGAACGGATAGACCACCTGATAATGCGCATTGAGTACATAACCGTGCTCCAGACACTCTCCTCTTGCAGAGAGAGAGAGAGAGAGAGAGAGAGAGAGAGAGAGATCAATACCACACCAAATCATCAAAATGTGCATATCTGCATGTAGAGTAGCTGGAAATGGGCAATATGACAATATTTTATCATTATCATGAAAAATAGTGTCACAATATGATTTTCTGAGCTTATCTTGGATATCATTAGTACTTGAACATAGACCAACTGTATATTTCATTAGAAAGAGGGCATAATTAGTCCTGTTTCATTTATTGTATTGCAGTACAGTTTGAGAAATATTGAACAAAATAATTGTAGTTGTAGCTTTATTATAGTATTTTTTATATGTGGCACTACAGGTTCTTATTTGTCTTATCAAATCTCAGAAAATCTAAACATTGTCAAGCATATCATGTGTTGTGAAAATGTCCTGAAGTATTGTGAATATCATGGTATTTTTCCCAAGTCGCCCACCCCTAAGAGCAGCATATGAGTACCTGTGCGTATTGTAGATGCAGTTGGTACAGGGCAGCACTGCTGGCAGGGCTTGGCAGGAGGCATGGAGGCGATGGTGATGTAAATGTTTCTGTTATTCTCATCACTCATCATCATGTTCATCAAAGCTGAACTGCTGCTGCGTGTACTGATTCACACATTCAAAAAAAAAGAAAAAAATAATCAATTAAAATATTAGCAGACGAACCAATATATTTCTAATATACCCATATACATTCTAAAAACAAACAACAAAGAGCTGTATTCATCCATCTTTACATAATCAGATGAGTTCCAGCTCAGTGGTCTGCACATGCATAATAATTAACACAATGTTTATGAGCCTTAAATGTGTCGACATTTTTTATATGACATCAAGAAAAAGTTACAATGCTTGAAACCACTGATTTAGCTAGTGCAGCTAGCAGGGAATCTAAGCGGTTCTCACTTGAAGCCGAAGACGATGATCTTGGAGTGGTCGTTGTGCCATTCGCACACAGTCAGATACAGTTCACTGTAGATATCTTCGCCTGCAAACAAACGTACGTGGTGCACCTGAAAAGAGATCGAGACACAGAAACAGACAAAGAGAGCCATCAAATAACTGTTTATCTCAATGTACGAAAACTCAAATATTGGACATTTTTAGACTGTAGTATGAATGCTAACTGTAGTAGTAGCTTCAACTGATGTGAGAACCACACTAGTGTGTTTGGTCACAACATCTATGAATGTAGAGTATGGACTGACCTGGTGGACAGGTCAATGACACTCTGTCCCTGTTAGGGACCATTACCTGTTTGAGGCGGCTGTGCAGGTTGAACTCCCACCAGTACAGGTGGTATGTGTAGAAGGAGAAATCATCATCCTCGCCACAGTCGCTGGTGTAGGACAAAACGTAGCGCCCGCACTTCGTAAAGCCTAAGAAGATGTGACTGAAACAGGGACACAATGTGGTGAGGTCAATAAGCATTTCCCAGCTGCACATGTCCCCCAACTAACCATAATTAATTAAAAAGGCATTCAACCAACTGTTCACAATTTCTGCGTAACTCAATAGATAATTAGCATGTAAACAAAGTCGTTCAGAGTGGTTGATGTGAAATGCTGCTCTGCAGAAACTTATTAAGTCCTATTCGGGTAGGATTAGTTTTCCATCGGGAGGTGGGGTGATGCCAGTTTACCTCAGACCATCTGTAATGTTTATGACCAACTCGCACATAAGAAATCTCGGTCTAAATGTCAGTCTAAAAATCTACCCTTTTCACTCCAGAAAGTTTCATCCAGCTTTCATCCAGTCCTCACAAAGCTGTAGGGCTGTGAGCTGAATGTTGTCGCTGGTGATGGCGATGATGAATGCTGGTCTATGCCGGTTTTTCTAGTGGGGGTATACATACAGAGACAAGTTGAGAAAATTCCAGTGAGCTAGACTTTACAAATACTAATAAAAATGTCAGCCAAACCTCCAAAGCTCTAAAATGACCATACTTACAACCACTGAATCTAAAATATAATAGTATATAATAATTAGCTCAGTAAAGTCTGCAACACCTTTTTACAGACAGAAGATAAATGATACAGAGTCAGACTTTATCAAAAGTCCTTTATATATCATGATTATTTATCAAGTTTTGTACAGACCTTTTGACTTTGGTATACTAAGCAGCAGACAAATAAGCCAAAATGCTGGACAAGCATTCCAGTTTTTGAGATAACTTGTAATTGAAAAGTTGTTCAGCTAAAAACAACTGTATCACACTAGACCTATTTTGGAATTGAAGCAGTTTAGTTCAGAACTGCCAAGGCTGCAATAATTAATTAATATGAAGCAACTATGGTGGGCAAAAAAGTCCTGTCAAAAAATGATTGGTAATTATTTGCCAAGATACCACAGATTATTTCAAGACCAATTTTGAATTCTGAAATGATCAAATCCAATCCCTAAGACCAGTTTGAAAAGGGCTGAGTCAAGTGCCGTTAGACGAAGTCTTTGTGAGTTCCAGCAGTTTTACTCAACAATGCTCTAGTCTAGAAAGATTGACTGGGGTGTGGCTGCCATGTTCGGAAAGTCAACCTTTTTGTTTGAGAATTATTCAGTTTGAGGCAGATAATTTGATACCAGCTTTGTGAGGACTGGATGAAAGCAAGTTTGCAAAAGTAGGTTTTACAAAAAATTTAAAACATATACATTTTTTTCCAGAGGGGGTGCATTTTAGGTTTAGCATGAGCCAAGAGTTAAAGTAGGCACTATGTACTGACAGAGTTTCTTGGCTGTAGGCTTTACAGTTTGGTCTGCACAATTTGTTTTATAACAACCTGAACAAAAACCTTCAGTGCTTGGACCCCTATTCAACGTACACTGTAAAACTTACTGCACATCTTAATGAAAGAATTAAGTGAACACAACTTAAATACTACAGAAAGCTGGTGTAACTTAATCTGAAAAAAAAAATTAATTAACTCAAAAATGAATTGTTGATAGTAACTCCATCATTCTGATTTTGTAGTATTTAAGTTGTGCTAATTCTTTCATTAAGACGTACAATTACGTTTTACATTGTGGTGGGCCTTCTTCACCAGAGAGTTGATGTGGCCAGACCATGACAGGTCCTGCGAGATGTGAACTCCAAGGTGTTTGAAACTGTCTACTCTTTCCGCTGCAGCTCCGTTTATACATGCAGGACGGTAGCTCCTCTCCTGCTTCTTGCTGTAGTCCACTATTGGCTGCTTAGTCTTGCTGATGTTAAGGAGGAGATTATTATCCTGATACCAGTTCTCCAGGTGCTTAATCTCCTCCAGGTAGGCCCTCTCATCATTGTCAGAGATCAGACCTACTACAACAGTGTCATCAGCGAACTTCACAATGGTGGTAGAGCTGGAAGTGGCCACGCAGTCATATGTGCACCCTGAATACAACAGGGGGCTCAGGACACAGCCCGGACAGTTTTGTTCATACTCAGTTCAGGGAATTATTTATTTGAGATTTTTTTTAACTTAAACCATTTAAGGCAATCAGTTTGCTCAAACCATTTGAGTTGACTTATCTTTTTTTTTTTTTAACAGCGTACAGCGCATCCTTAACATCGAATAAGTTCAATAGCGTAATCTCCGCCGCAACCCGCTGTGATGCAGTACCAGCATGTGACCGCAAGATGTCGCTCATGTTGCACGGAGTGAGACCGTTAGATCTGGCCATATTGTGTGACTTGAGAAATGCGCATGTGTGCTGTTACTTATTTTACAGGAATCGGGACGCAAAGGCCAGAAAACACTGATCCATGTAAAAGTGTAAATGAAAATAATAGTCTAGAATATTTCACTTATTTGTTGATTTTGGTTTTGTGCATGCTGGGGTAGCAGGTTAGCCCTTCTCTTTAGGTGTGACTGGAATGACAGGTGTTTCTGGGTGGAGGACTTGACCTGATTTCACTTTTAAGTCCATTTCGTCCTCTAACCTGAAATGGCGTCGAGTAACGGTAAGCATCCAGTTACTATAATAATCCGATTTAAAATGGGTGTAGATCATCCTGTAGTGTGTACAGCTTGAATTCATATTTAACTGGATTCCCAGGTTACTAATTTACCTGTTTAAATGTGTTAAATTGATATAGAAAGTTAGTGATGCTACAGGTCCTGTTCACAGAGTAAACCCTTGTTCTTCTGTAGGCCGGCTGAGACACGTATCTAAACCGTCTGACTGTACTGTACATTACTGACTGTAATCTAGTTTGACTATTAGGCTAAAAAAAGAAAAGATACATGCAAGTACAGTCAAAGTTTGCTATTACCTCTGAAAGTTAAAATGGCGTTAATGTGTAGTGAACACTTTAACTCTTTCTGACCCACATTATTTAATGCACTGGAACAGTTATTCTCAGTGATTGTCACTTCAGTACAACTGATTAGCAGAATGTTAGATAATAATAGTTATTAATAGAATTTGTACAGTAAAAAAGTTTGGACACCCCCAGTCAAATTATGCGTTTGGTTGATTTTCTAAGTGAAAATAAGTTAACAAATCCTCTACAGAGAACACATTCAACTAAGGGATTTTTCTGCAAATTTTAGCCCAATGTACCCAAAAAATACTACATGAAATACGCTTCTGCTCAGTTCACATTTTATTTTTTACAATATGTTAAAATTCAGCAAAAAACAGTAATTGTGTATTAAAATGTGCCAGAGTGTGTCCTCTGTAGAGGATGTGTTGAATTTTGTGTTGAAGACTACTGAAATCTTGCTCTAATACTTAAACACTGCCTTAAATCATAGGTGATCTAAATTTGCTCTACAATATAAGGTTGACAGTAATGATAATTTCTATTATACAACAGTTCCTTGTATATACAACATTATTCAACTCTGATTGATTGAGAAGCATTCAAAATAACTGTATCATTCCACTGAGCATTTGCTGCTAACCACTCACTTTACGCTGCAGGTAACTTGTTACAGTAAATAATGTTTCATCAGTTCAAAAAAAAAAATTACTTCATGTGGTAACAAGTAAATTACCTCATTAAAAATACTTTGAAGGAGCCATTGTTTAAATCAAAATATTTATTTGAATAAAACCAGGTAAATCACACAGCAGAAAATAACGTACAACTTATGCTTGTGGCACAGCTCCATCACGGCCTCAGAGGAGGGGAAGTCTAACCTTCATACCTCCTGACAGTAAGTTACACTGCATTTATACTCTCTGGAATTGAGACTGCATATGTATGTAAGGCTTTGTCCCCCTCCTGATTTTTTTTTATTTATTTATTTAATTTTTGTTCTTCTATTGCACACTTGTTACATTTAATTATTTCAGATCTTCAAACAAAATTAAATATAAGGCAAGGACAAAATGAATACATAGCACAAAGTAATGTTTAAATGTTTATTTTGTTTATTGAAGGAAAAATGTTAACACCAACTGGCCCTGTGTAAACAAATAATTGCCCCTTTAGTTATTCAGTTAACCAAATTTGCATCAATAATTGGCATCAATTGAACTAGACACACCCAGGCCTGATTAGTACCAACACGGTTGAATCAAAACATGACTTAAATAGAACCTTTCCAGCAACATGAAGCTGGCTAAAAATTCTGAACAAGCAGCACAGTATACCGTCAATAAAATTCATTCCAGAAGAGATGAGAAAGTAAGTTATTGAAAGGGTTACAAAGCCATTTCTAAGCGAACCACATTGAGAACCATTATATATACGTCATATATATACATACACACACACAAGTACAAATAAATCTATTATTTAAAATATATTTGATAAATACATTTGGGATACGTTTTCATACATAAATATTTAAAATATATTTGATAAATACATTTGGGATACATTTTTTCCATATAGGTAATATAGGTATATCCATTTGTATCATCTGTGTGCTAAGTCTTCTGAAAACACCCAGGCCAATTTATTTTAATGTTCTAAATTACATAGCTTTTGGTCTGGGGTGTTTAATTATTACTCAGTTGACAATCAATGCAATGATTCAATGAAATCATTCAAACTCTGTATTTCATTGAAAATACTACAAAGACAACATATCAAATGTTGAAACTGAGAAATTTGATTGTTTTTTGAAAAATATTTGCCCATTTTGAATTTGGTGCCAACAAAAAAAGTTGGGACGGGGGCAACAAAAGGCTGGTAAAGTTGTGTAATGCTAAAAAAAACAAAAACCACCTGGTGGTTGATCGACGAGAGGTCATTAACATGATTGGGTATGAAAGAGCATCCCAGAGAGGCTGAGTCTTTCAGAAGTAAAGATGACAAGGGGTTCACCACTCTGTAAAAGACTGCACGATCAAATAGTGCAACAATTCAAGAATAACGTTTCTCAACATAAAATAGCAAAGAACTTTTGCTTTTCATCATCTATGGTACATAATATCATTAAAAGATTCAGATCTGGAGAAATCTCTTTATGTAATGAACAAATCCAAAAACCAGTACTTGCTGGCCGTGATCTTTGGGCCCTCAGATGGCACTGCATTAAAAACAGACGTGATTCTATAGAGGAAATCACTGCATGGGCTCGGAAACACTTCTGAAAATCGTTGTCTGTGAAAACAGTTTGTTGCTGCATCCACAAATGCTAATTACAACTCTAAAACACAAAGAAGAAACTGTATATAAACAGGATCCAGGAATGCTGCCACCTTCTCTGGGCCCGAGCTCATTTAAAATGGACTAAGGCGAAGTGGAAAAGTGTCCTGTGGTCGGACGAACCAACATGTGAAATTCTTTTTGAAATCATGGACACTGTGTCCTCCAGGCTAAAGACCACCCAGCTTGTTATCAGTGCACAGTTCAAAAGCCAGTATTCATGATGGTATAGGGGAGCATTAGTGCACATGGCATGGGTGATGTGCACATCTGCGAAGGCACCATTAACGCTGAATTATATATACATGTTTTGGCAACATATGCTGCCATCCAGACAACGTCTTTTTCAGGGAAGGCCTTGATTGTTTCAGCAAAGCAACGTCTGCATGTACTACAACACTATTACAACACTAAACTGGCCTGCCTGCAGTCCAGACCTGTCACCATGTGGTGCATTATGAAATTAAAAATACAACAAAGGAGAGCCCGAACTGTTGAACAGCTGAAATCCTATATCAAACAAGAATGAGACAACATTTAACTTTCTAAACAACAGCAGTGTCTCCTCAGCTCCTAAAGTTTTGGTAAAAGAAGAGGTGATGAAACACAGTGATAAACATACCCCTGTCCCAACTTTTTTGGAACGTGTTGTTGGCATCAAATTCAAAATGGGCAAATATTTTTCAAAAAACAGTAACATTTTTGTTTTCGTAGTACTGTCCTTTAAAAAACATGGTTTATATGATTTGCACATCATTACATCCTATTTCTATTTACATTCTGCATAGCATCCCAACTTTTTTGGAAATGGGGTTGTACAAATATCAAAAGTGAAAATCAGGGAAGAAATGGTATAAAATGCAAGAAAAATGTAGAATACATTTTATATATTTTACATACATATTTCTCAATTTCATAATGCAGTGAGGATTATGCTGCTGGGGAAAAACAGACAGGAGATCAGAAGAGTGAGAAACTTCATCCTGAGAAGAGACATGTTTGATGCTGAAGCTCCTCCTAGCTCAGTAGAGCAGCACAGTGAGAAAGCCAGAGAAAGAGTGGAAGGAAGAGACATCACACTCATCAACACACCTCAGCTGTTTGATATTGAACTCTCTGATCTGGAGCTGAGTGAGAGAGTGAAAGAGTGCATGACTCTTTGTGATCCTGGACCTCACGTTATAATGCTGGTCACACAGCCAGGAGACTTCACTGAGGCAGACAGAAACTGACTGAATCACATCTTCAGATATTTATCTGATGATGCCCTTAAATACACAATGGTGTTGACAACCCAAAATCCACAGTTAGGCACCAGTGTAGATCCAGGTGAAGACAGCGTCTCTGAGGAGATTATCATAGAAAGAATTAAGTGGTATTTTGACTTAACAAGTGAAAGCAATCATTCTGCTCTCTTGGAAATGATGGGGAAGATGATTGAGGAGAATGGAGGGGAACACTTTCAGTGGGAGGAATTTGTGATGGCTCCACTTGCAATAGAACAACAGCATCAAGAAACAGAAGCGCAGAAAAAACCTGAACAAATGGTGGGGAAAAATATTCCACAAAAAGACAGCAGACAGCAGAAGGAAACATGTAAGCACAGTTTTATGAAATTATTTTAAATTTACCAGATTATACAAAATAATTATAATAAACAAGATATAAGAATTTCACCAGTGTTACAGACACTGTTTGTGATAATTAGACTGCAACACTCATGATAACAGTGGTTTTGGTCACTGACATTAATATTCCAAAAATAGCAGGAAGATTTTGGAGTCTATTCCCTCATGGGGGAAAACAACATGAGAGTGAAGGTGAGTTACAGTGTATTATATTCTAATTTAAATGTTTCTCAACTCATATATAAGATCATGAATTAATGAAATGTAATTTTTTTATTACATGTATTGAATTTTTTTTAAATCTTTTTTTACATCTTATTATTTACATCTCAACATGATTCATGTTTTGTTGTGACTTATTTTCATGTACCTCTTTAGTGTAAATTTCTAAACCTGACAGGTTCCAGTTTGTTTCTCTTTCAGTGCCTCAGAGGTTGAACTTGGTGCTGTGTGGCAGTGATGGAGCTCTGAAGGCCTTCATATCAGATCTCATTCTGGGCCCAAATAAGTGCAGACCAGAGCCCAGCTCAGAGGCGTGAGGAGAGATGGAGTGGTATCTAAGCGCTCGATCACCCTGGTGGAGATGCCGGCTCTCTACAACACACCTCACTCAGAGGAGGAAGTGATGCAAGAGGCTCTCCGTTGTGTCTCTCTGTGTGATCCAGGAGTTCATGCGTTCCTCCTCATCATTCCTGCTGGTCCCCTCACTGATGAAGACAAAGGAGAAATGGAGGGGATCCAGAACATTTTCAGCTCTGAAGTCAACAATCATTTAATAGTTCTCTTTACAGCGCAGCAGGCTGATAGTACAGCTGAAAAAGATTTTATAGAACAAAGCACTGATATAAAGAACTTTCTTTCCATTTGTAACCACAAACATATATTAGTAGAAACAAAGACAGGGAAAAAAAACAAGCAAATGAGTGAAAAACTGTTAGATGAAATTGAAAAAAAGACAGAAACACAGCCATATTGTCTTTACATGTATGTGAAAGCTCAAGAGGAAAGAGTCAGATGTGAACTACAGGAATGGTATAAAGAAGAACTGAGCAAAAAAGAGAAGGAAGTCCAGGAGTTAAAGAGGAAGCTCCAGCCAGAAGGTAAGCACCTTTGAGTTTTTTCAGATCAACTCTTAAAGTATGAGAACAATGGATTTAACACATTTTAATGAATCATGACATTTAAAGCCCTTGTACCAAAACATGCAAAGTACTATACAAAAATCAGAGACCACATTTATATGTTTTTAATTTCCAATCAAAACAGTCTATTAAGTACAAGCTGAGGACACAGAGAGACTGCTTGAAAAAACAAACTACACTGCACATTAAAAACTAAACTTTTGTAGCAAACACATGCCTTTTTGGAGCATTAGACACAGCTTCCCAACTTTATGTAATTAAAAAAAAAAATATTTGAAGCCATCATTTCCCAGCCGCTGAGCTGGCACTTTATTTTCATGCGTTTGATATAGTATTGTTCTCTCAAACATCGGACAGTAAAGATACGCCTGCCTTTAACCTTAAGTTCTACAGGCATCTTATTTTCCAAATTAATAATCAAATCAGAGTTATTTTTTTTGGCATAATGAGAAGAAACGTCATAAAAGAGCACTTTACGTTTGTTTACCCTCGGCAGTTTTATGTCTTGTGACTGGGCAGTCACAAGCCTGTAGACCTACCGGTGTGGCTAGTGTTTCCATTAATGTGTGTGAAGAATGTTCTCCTGGTACACATTAGGACCCCTGATAACGACTGAAGACCTGAACATCTGATTGAAGAATGAAAAACCTACAAATAGTGTGTGAAAAGATATCCCTTACAGGCTCAGGTAGCATCTAGAAAGCCATATCATTGATCGCATCATTTCAGTTGAATGACTGAATTGCACCCCTGGTCAAATGATGTTTTGTTGATTTTCTAAGTGAAAATAAGTTACACATCCTCTACAGAGAACACACTTCTGTACATTTTAATACATTTATCATATTTAAAATGTTAAGCCCAGCAAATAAACAGAAACTGTGCACTAAAATTCGCAGAAAAATCTGCAGAGGACGTGTTACCTTATTGTCACTAAGAAAACAACAAAACATAATTTGACTGGGGGTGTTTAAACTTACGCATACGACTGTAAAAGCTTAATTTTTGCTGAAAGATTATATTTCAAAGATGGAACACTTCATTGTCTGATGTAAAAATGTAGACCCTTCAGAACAGCTGGGCATGGATTCTACACAATGCTGGATGTGCTGTGCAGGTATGTGGTGGCTGACTTCAAGGATCTGCCAGATACCACAGGGCACCTTCAGAGTTTTTGTAGAGTCCACGCCTCACCAGGACAGAACTTTTTTGCCAGCACACATTAGGGTGGTTGTCGTACTGTTTTGGCTCATTGGTCTGTGTGTGTGTGTGTGTGTGTGTGTGTGTATGTGTGTGTGTGTGACATGTCAAGGTCTGGCATGTCGTAGTCGGTAAGTGAACAGTCAGTTCTCATAATTGACGTGTTAGATGTGGGAGAATGGACATTGGACATAGCCAGTGCCACAATTTGGAATGTCCTGAAAACAGAAAGACACCACTGGTGTACCAACAACCAGACATTGAACAGGTCAGCCAAGGAAAACAACAGCAGTTGATGACAGAAACACTGCAAGAGCTATAAAGAAAAACCCTAGTCAGCAATGTCACAGTCAGTGACATCACCAACACCCACCCGCAGGGTTGAAAGTATCACAATCCACTTGTCAAAGAAGACCTTGAGAGCAGAAAGACAGAAACCATAGCAAAAAATGCAAACCACTCATCAGCAGTATGAATCAGAAGGGTAAATATGAATTCACAAAGAAATACAGAGATGAGACACAAAAATGCTGGAACAGAATTTTATGGACTGATGGCACCAAGATTAACCTCTACCAAACTGATATGAAGGATCTCCTGATGAGCCAAAACATACAAGCTAATCAGTCAAGCATGGTAGAGGTAGTGTCACAGCTTGGTCTTGCATGGCTGCTTCTGAAACAGGCTCTAATCTTTACTGATGATGTAACTTATGATGGTAGCAGAAGAAAGAATCAAGATGTCCAAGAAACATTTTGTCTAACAATATACAGAGAAATGCATCCAATCTAATCAGGAGGAACTTCATCATGCAGCCAGAAAATGACCCAACACATTGCCAACACAATGAAGGACTTCATCAGGGGGGATTAGTGGATAGTTTTCGACTGTCCAAGTCAATCACCAAACCTTAACCCATCAGAGCATGAATTTCACCTCCTGAAGAAGAGACTGAAGGGAGAAATCCCCAATACAAACAACTGAAATAAGATGCATAAAAAGCCTGGAAAAGCATCACAAATAACAAATGCAACAGTTTGGTGATGTCAGTAGGTCGCAGGCTTGTTACATTTATTATAACCAAATATCGTGTTATTTAAGACAGTCTGTTCCTATAATTTTTGCTTACCTAACAATGAGGTGGTCTGCCACTAATGGTGCCATGTTCTAAGTTGTTTAACACATCTAGATGTAAATATGAGAAAATAAATGCTAAAATTCAGATGTCTCATATTCATCTTTTGATGTTAATCCCAAATGGATTTGCAATTCATATGAAATTCATATGGCACTCATATGGAGTTGGTCTCCCCTTTGCAGCCATAACAGCTTCCACTCCTCTGGGAAGCGTTCTATAGGATTTCGGAGTGTGTCTGTGGGAATTTTTGCCCATTTATCCAGAAGAGCATTTGTGAGGTCAGACACTGATGTTGGATGAGAGGGCCTGGCACACAATCTCCATCCTAGCTCATCCTAAAGGTGTTTGATGGGGTTGAGGTCAGGATTCTGTGAGGGCCAGTCAAGTTTGTCCACACCAAACTCACCCAGCTATTTATGGACTTTATGGACCTTGCTTTGTGCAATGGGGCTGAGTCATGCTGGAACAGAAAAGGTTCTTCCCCAAACAGTTCTCAAAGTTAAAAGCATACAATTGTCCAAAATGTCTTGTGATGCTGAAGCTTTAAGATTTCCCTTCGATAGAACTAAGGATCCTAGGCCAACCCCTGAAAACAACCCCATATCATTATCCCTCCTCCACCAAACTTTACAGCTGGCACATTGCAGTCGGACAGGTAACGTTCTCCTGGCATTCGCCAAACCCAGACTCGCCCATCAGACTGACAGACAGAGAAGCGTGATCATCACTCCACAGAATACATATCCACTGCTCCAGAGTCCAGTGAGCTTTACACGCCTCCCCCCGATGCTTGGCATTGTGCATTTCAATCTTAGGCTTGTGTGTAGCTGTTTGCCCATGGAAACCCATTTCATGAAGCTCCTAAAGCTCAGTTCTTTTGCTGATGTTGCTTCCAGAGGCAATTTGGAACTGATTACTGAGTGATTCTAGGCACTGTGCGCTTCAGCACTTGATGGCCCCATTCTGTGAGTTTGCACAGTCTAGCGCTTCACGGCTACGCTGTCGTTACTCCTAGATGCTTCCATTTCACAGTAATAGCACTTACAGTTGTCAGCGGCAGATCTAGCAGGACTGACTTGACTGACACAAACTGACATCCTATGACAGTGCCCTGTTTAAAGTCACTGAGCTCATCAGTACGACCCATTCTATTGTTTCTATTGCCAGTGTTTGTCTATCGAGACTGCTAAGCTATGTGCTTAATTTCATCCAGCTGTTAGCAATGGGAGGGGGTGTCCCAATAATTTTGTCCATACTATATGTATATATGTGTGTGTGTGTGTAAGAGAGAGAGAGAGAGAGACAAAGAGAGAGCAAATAAAAATTGAGAGGTATCAGCAAATGAACAAAAATATGTATATAAAAGTAAAGTTATTCATTTTAGATGACACATTGTGATTATTGAGATTTGATCTAACCAAGGCATTGCAAAATAATGTGTAACTTTTACTAATGTCATTTTTAGGTGAAGGTGAAGATGAACCACAGGTTTCCAGCTGCTTAAGGGTGGTACTGATTGGAAAAACAGGAAGTGGAAAAAGTGCAACAGGAAACACCATCCTGGGAAGAGATGAGTTTATAACTGAAGCCAGTATGAATTCTGTGACAAAGGTTTGCCAGAAAGGAGTTGGTGAGGTTGAGGGAAGGTCAGTTGCTGTTGTTGATACTCCAGGCCTCTTTGACACCACACTGTCAAATGAAGAAGTACAGCAAGAAATTGTGAAGTGCATCTCACTCTCAGCACCCGGACCCCATGCTTTCATCATTGTGCTGAGTGTGGGAAGAATCACTAAAGAAGAATTAGAGACTTTAGATCTGATAAAAATGATCTTTGGTCCAAAGGCTGCGATGTTCAGCATAGTGCTGTTTACTAGAGGAGATGACCTGGGAAATCAGACGATAAACCAGTACATAGAGAAAAGCACAGTTGAACAAGTCAAGAAGCTGCTCAGAGACTGTGGAAGTAGATTTATAGTGTTCAATAACAGAGAACGAAATGACCGCACTCAAGTTTCTGATCTTTTGAGAGAGATAGAAATGATAGTTCATTCAAACACAAGTCAGTACTTTACAAACAGCATGCTCGAAGAGGCAGAAATGTCCATCAAAAAGAAAATTGAAGAAATTCTGAAAGAGAAAGAGCGAGAGATTGAAGCTGAAAAGGAGAAACTGAAGAGCAATTACAGCAGGGAAATGGAAGAGATGAAGAAAAGACTAGAAGAAGAAAAACAAAAGGCTGATGAAGAAAAGCTCCAAATGCAGAGGAAGTTCAGAGAAAAGATGGAAACCCTCAAACAAGAATTTGAAGAAAAAGATGAACAAGAGAAAAAGAAACGGGAGACGGAGGACAAGGTGAGGTTAGAAGAAGAAAAAATACAAATGACGAAATGGCAAAACAGAATTAATGAGCTGGAAAGAGACAATAAAAAGCAGAGAGCTAAATTTGAAAAACAGTTAAGAGACAGAGAGGAGGAGGATAAAAAGAAAGAAGAGAGATACAAACAAGAAAAAGAAATTCTCAGAAATGAGCAAAAGCGTGTCATGGAGGAGCTGAGAATGAGACAGGAAGAAGAGCGTAAAAGGAAAGATCTGGAAGAGAACAAAAAAAGACAAGAGGAAGAGAATGAGAGGCACAACTGGGAGAGGAAAATAAAAGAGGCTGAATATGAGAAAAAGGAGACGCAAGAGGACCTAAAGCGTAGACAGAGAGAATGGGAAGAAGAACAGAAAAGAGAGATGAAAAGACGGGAGGAAGAGGACCGGCTAAGAAAACAGAGACACGCAGAAGAGCTAAGAGCAAAACAAGAAGAACAAGACAGATTGAGAGAGGAATTTGAAAGGAAGATGGAAGAAGAAAGACATCAGAGAGAGAAGGAGAAACGACAATGGAGGAAAGTGGAGAGAAAAGAGAGTGAGAGAAAAGAGAGAGAGTATGAGGAAAAGAAACGTGCAATGGAAGCACAAATGAAAGAGCAGTATGAGCAGCTGGAGAAAATGAGAACGGAAGAGTGGGAGAGAAGAAGACGTGAGGATGATGAAAGAAGAGAAGAAGAGAGACAAAGATATCAGAAACTTAGAGAGGAGATGGAGAGAGAACGGCAAAAGGAGATTAAGAGGAGAGAGAGAGAAGGCACAGCAAGAAGAGAGAGAGAGGAGAAGGAACGTGAGGAAATGAAAAAGAACTATGATCAGAAAATGGAAGAGATGAAAAATAAATATGAAGATGAAGCCAGAAAGCAGGCTGAGCAGCTCAACGAGTTCAATGATAAAAAAGTTCAACACTTCCGAGAGCTGATTAAAGACCATCAGAAACAGTATGGACTTCTGGAGAATCTGTTTAAAAGCACCAAGGCTGAAAATACAGATGAAATTAAGAAACTACAGGAAGAACTTAACAAAAAGTCATTGTGGTCAAAGTGTGTCTTTCTTTGAGACTCAATGTAAAACATGATCATGATGATGATACTTCTTAAAAGGCAGTAAATTGTTTATAAAATTCCTTCCACTATTTTATTACTTCATCTGTACTTTGGCTGTGTCTGAGTAAGATGATTTAATGTCACTAATGTTGTCAATGATTTAATGGTACTAAGCTTGCTGTTTAGTTTAAATAACTTTTTAGCTCATTTAGGGTTATTAGCATTATGGGTATGTGTGTATCTCCTCATTGTATGATCACAGTCCTTTAGTAAAGAAGCAATGGATTTATTGTAAATGTTGCCTGTGTTTTACTCAAACACACTTTTATAATACTCAACTCCACAACCGGTGCCTTCTGAACTATTACTTCAGGTGTGTCAAACGCAGGGCCTTCCAGGCCACAGCCCTGCAGTGATACTCTGAATTCACTTCATGATGGCAGGAGCTTAATTTGGTTTAACATCTTTGTATCTAGGTCTCTCATCCAAACTGTTGAGTCATTTTAACTACGTAAAAAATATACACCGATCAGGCATAACATTATGACCACCTCCTTGTTTCTACGCTCATTGTCCATTTTATCAGCTCCACTTACTATATAGGTGCACTTTGTAGTTCTACAATTACAGACTATAGTCCATCTGTTTCTCTGCATACTTTGTTAGCCCCCTTTTACCCTGTTCTTCAGTGGTCAGGACCCCCATGGACCACCACAGAGCAGGTACTATTTGGGTGGTGGATCATTCTCAGCACTGCAGTAACACTGACGTGGTGGTGTGTTAGTGTGTGTTGTGCTGGTACGAGTGGATCAGACACAGCAGTGCTGCTGGAGTTTTTAAACACTGTCCACTCACTGTCCACTCTATTGGACACTCCTACCTTGTCAGTCCACCTTGTAGATGTAAAGTCAGAGACGATAGCTCATCTGCTGCTGCAGTTTGTGTTGGTCATCCTGTAGTCCTTCATCAGTGGTCACAGGACACAGCCCACAGGACGCTGTTGGCTGGATATTTTTGGTTGGTGGACTATTCTCAGTCCAGCAGTGACACTGAGGTGTTTAAAAACTCCAGCAGCACTGCTGTGTCTGATCCACTCAGACCAGCGCAACACACACTAACACACCACCACCACGTTAGTGTTACTGCAGTGCTGAGAATGATCCACCACCCAAATAGTACCTGCTCTGTGAGGGTCCATGGGGGTCCTGACCACTGAAGAACAGGGTAAAAGGGGGCTAACAAAGTATGCAGAGAAACAGATGGACTACAGTCTGTAATTGTAGAACTACAAAGTGCACCTATATAGTAAGAGGAGCTGATAAAATGGACAATGAGCGCAGAAACAAGGAGGTGGTCATAATGTTATGCCTGATCAGTGTATATTTTTTACATATCGGTGTATATTTTTAACATTAATTAATTAGTTTACAAAAGCTGTTTAGATCTGATATTGCATCTGTCTTGGGTGATCCCATCATAAGTGGACAGCACTGAGTACATTTCTCTAGAACAAAGCATTTCACACCAAACCACGGGAATGAAAGGGAATGTACTATCATGAACATATCAGAGGTAATTTAGTTGCAGATGTAGTGCAGATGGATTGGAGAAGAGTGCTGCGAGAGAAAAAGAGAAAGGGAATGTGGAGGCTCACCATTAGCCACACGCTTCACTCTGACATTGACACCCCCCAAATGTCCTGTGGGCTCTTTATGCAGGCAGAGAAAATAAATGCCCTTCTACATGAAGCTGATGTCTTGGTATCATCACTTCAATCATTGTACTCTACACAACACAGACGTAAACCTGTTACAATTTGGTTTGAAAATTTTATCATCATAGTCTATTACAGTACACCAGTTACCATGGTCAAAGTGCATGAAACTGGACACTGGATGTTTAAATGATATGCTGGCCACCAAACTGGAAATGTCCCCAGTATTCATTTCAGAAGTCTGGTCACCTTACCTTACTATAAATGCACTATTCCCTGGATTAGTGAATAAAATGCAACTGGTGCAAAACACAAAAGCCAAAACTTTCTTTTTTAACCGCTGCATTTTACTGCACATTTAAAGTCAAACTTATGAATCACCTGAAGTCTGAAAGTCAAAAAATCAATCTGGCAGAAATCTTCTTTTGAGACCCCTCCATCAACAGTAATTATAATATATAAATAGAAGTCGTTCTAAAAACCTCTGACTGCCGATCATGTGTGTTTTGTCTGCTAAAAGGCTGTACTGGATCATCAGCTTCTGTGTTGGAGTGTCGTGCTGGACTTTGATGTCTGTAGTTTGTAGACGCTCCCTAATCAGCTCTCAGTGGGTTTAGGGGCTCATAGAAATCAACATGTACCATGTGTTTAAAATGCATTTTCACACAAAAACTAAGAGTGGGCTGTTCGCCTTTGCTCTCTTTTCATGTTTCAGACTGCTTGTATAAACCTGTCAGGTTAAGGTTATCAAAAGTTTGATTTATAGCCAGGACGGTCACTAGAGGTTCAATGATAGGGGGCCTCAGCCTGTACTGGGGGTCTGGCGGCATGGTCCCCAAAGAGAATTTCTTTTTAATGGACCCCAAATTGTTTATAATGCACATTCAGAGTAGCAACAGGCAGAAAATGTCAAGTACATCAGCCGTGATAAGTATATAAAAACTGGTTATTTGGTCTGGTCACGTAGGCCCAGAGTAGATCTGTCTCTGTGTAGTTTGTCTTAAACTCAGAGCTAATATAACAAACACTTTATCCATCCATTACAACAGGCACAGATGGAGTAAAGGTGCTAAAGTCCAGCAGTGTTATCTCCTCTCTCTTAGATCAGCTGCAAGGTAAGAATGATGTTATCCAAACACACACAGATTATAGATCAGTTGAGTCTCAGTTGGATCAGAAAGAGTGGTTTTGCTCTGCAGGCATGTTTAATAAGCTGGGTGACAGAATTTCACAGTAATGGTGGCAAATATTATGTTTTCTCAGTCAAAATTGATTCAGTATTAATTTTAATTGAAAGCTTCTACAACCCGCCCTCACTTTCTTCTTGCTTACTAACCTCCATCAGATCTGCTCCCTCAGCTCTGTCAGTCCTTCAGCCTCTTTCTCTCCCTCTCTGCCTGTGTTTAGTAAAACATTTATGTTATTAAACTCAGATTTACAACAGCTCAAGGAAATAACGATCAATTTAATGTTTATAGTTTTAACTGGTAAAAATCTCATCTGACTGACCTTCAGCGGAGCTGCTGTGTCTTAATTTCCATCTAAAGATTGAGGGAATTGAGGGATATAAAACTGTTATTTTATCACACAAAGCAATTTTCCACCTTAAATGCTGCAGCAGTTTTATTCTGGCGCCTCGCAGCGGAAAAAACTCCAACGAGAATCTGGCGAGTAGGATGAAACTTCAGCCTCGTCCTTTTCCCTGACTTTAGCTGTAAACAACAACGTACTGCAGATATTGGTGAGATTCTTTCCAAAGACTGAGGAGAAACACAGAAAACAAATAATATAAAGAGCTGTCAATAATTTTATTCCTGCCCCTCTTCTTCTTTCACTCTCTCACTCTCACTATGATGTGGTGAAACTAGTGGGCTTGTGAGCTAGCTAAGTTAGCTAATGCTAGTGTTAGCCTAGCATCATTTTTACCTCAGTTAAACCCAAAGGGGGTCAAACTGTAGAATTTTACAGAGCAACAAACGAGAATAAAGAGTTTCCAGCTCGCTGCTGTCGAATCAGGTGGTGTGGAAAATCAGAATAAAATAAAAATACTTACTAAATTTCTGAATAAAACACCGTGAACTAAGGAAATAAGGAATTCAAGCCTTATTGACCTTATTAAAATGATGATTATTATTATTTATTTTTTTTCACATTTTTTGACAAACTATCCCTTTAAGCCCCCTGTAAAGGTGTAAGGTGGTGGGGACAGAGAGCAGTTTGGCTGTACACATTTCCAAACACTGACCCTGCTCTAAGGAACTCCTCACTGACTATAGTCTTCAGCGGCACACAGATGCGAGGTGGAAGCTTCCGGAAAAGTCGCTGGGACAGTTGACTGGAGAGCTGCAGAGGGAGAAACAGTGAGAGTGAATACGTAAAGAAATGAAAATCAACTGGACTTTGATGGAAGGGAGTGGGAAATTAGAGCATAACATCCCAAAGCTATTTCCATCTCTACCAGACAGTCTAAACAAATTAATCTTCCGTAAAATATGCTTTTTTATTGATACTGAAATCTCAAAATTTAAATCAAGCTGCATATTAACTTTATTAACTAAAATAACTATATTAACGTGCTTTAATGGGGTTTTATTAGACTAGATACCCAGTGAGCCAAGAAATATGGCTATGAAATTGCTGAAATTTCATTTAAAGTGGTATTCCTGTCTAAAACTGGCATTTGTTATGAGTCCTGTTCTGAAATGTTCTGAAGTGCAGCACTGTATCCCTCACTTGTTTGACACAATTCACAATTGTGCATGCTTTTTATGTTTTCATTCTTTGTCTCTTACTACAATACTATGTTTACATCTCAGTGACTGATTTATGCAGAACTTTTTAAAAATAGGTGGAGTTCCCCTTTAAAATGCTTATCAATAAAATCTTACATTCAGGCTCATGGTGGCCAAATCTCACTCACTGTCCTAGTCATTTTTAGTAACACTATTAATGACAGTGGTTTATGTAAAAAGCCTCTGTATAAAAGTTGGACAAAATAAAAGCAGTTTAGTTTAGAAAATTAAAGACATTAAAGGGGAATTCCACCAATTTACAAAAATTCTAAATCATTCAGTCTTTGAAATGGAAGCAAAGTCATTCAGAGTGGTTTGGTGTGAATGGTTCACTGTAGAGAAGCTTACAGCCTTTACAGTGGTGGTGATAGGAACCAGGGGTCACAATGACCACAACACATATATAGCCATTTTATTTACTATGGAAAACCACCAGTGAATCTACACAAGTCTTCTGAGTTTATATATGTAATGTTGATGATTGTAAAACAAAAATGTAAGTTTTCTTTGGGGACTATTCTGCCTCACAACGCCCCACGTATATCCCTCCGCCATGAATAAATAAAAAATAAAGGGATTAAGATACATTTTAAGCTAAAAGCTTTCCACAAAGCTGACATGAGGCAGCGTATATCTTACCTATTCATGTGATATCTTTCTGTGATGGAGCTTTTAGAGGCATTAAAACTCTTCAGACGTCTGGTTCCTATCACCACCACTGTGAACCATTCTGATTCTGTAGTTTTTCTGGAACGGAGAATTTCACACCAAACCACTCTGAATGACTGTTTATATCTCAATCGTTTTTTGAAAATTCGGCGGAGTTCCCCTTTAGGTCTCTCTCTTGACCGCGAGATGTCGCCCATGTTGCACAGCGTGAGACCCTCAGATAGAATAAAGTGTGACCTGAAAAATCCGCGTACATGCTGTAACTGAGAAACTTCCTGATGTGAAGGTACTTTCAGTTCGTCCACTCACCTAAAATGGCGTCGAGTAACGGTAAGCGTTTATTTACTGTACTAATCCGAATTAAAACACGTGTAGGTCACATCATGCTGCATTTACAACGTTTATACAGTTAAACTGTTATTTAACTGAATTCCCAGTTAACTGTTTAAATGTGTCAGCCCTCCTGTCTTCATCCTTGGTGCCAGATTCACCCCAGCAAATTAAACCTCCAGACAATGTCTGTTGTTTATGCCTCAGGGACTTTGTTTCTTTGCAAAAAAATGGTGTCAATCATTTATTTAGAGACGTTAAACTGCGAATGGAGTCCCACTGACCCCAAAGATAATAGGAGGGCTAATGTATAAAGTATGAGAAGCCACAGGCCCTGTTCATAGAGTATACAGGAAACCCTCATTCCTCTGTAGGCATTAACCGTTATTCTCATTCATTACCATGTCAGTCGGCTACAACTGATTAGGAGAATGTTAGATAACAGAGTTATTTATAGAATGTATACAGTAAAGAAGTTCAGACACCCCCCTGGTCTAATTCTAGTGAAAATTAAACACATCCTCCACAGAGAACACAAATATGAGATTTTTCTGCCAAGTTTAGTTTGACAAGCTGGAGAAAATACAATATAAAATGTACTGGACACATTTTATGTTTAGTATTTTTCCCCAATATGTTAAATTTTGTAAATAAACAGTAATTGTGCTTTAAAATCTACAGAAATGTGTTCTGTGTAGAGGATGTGTTCATACATATGATTTTATACAGAGCAAGTACAAGGGAGAAGAGAATGTCTAACACAGCGTAATGTGGAAACTTGATAGACTACAGAAATCTCACACCAATACTAGAACCTCGCACTAAATCACAGTTGATCTGAATTTGCTCTGCTATCTGAGGTTGATGGTAATAATGCTTTCTGTTAAAACAGTTCTACAAGTGTCGGACGGCACGCTCAGATTGAGAAGTGTTCAAAATAATTCATTATTTTCATAAATAAATCATAAAAATACTTCACATCATACACAAATTAATTAAAAATTAACTATGAATGAACCTTTGTTTCAATCCAAATATTTATTTATACTTGTTACCATATAAGAACCCTGCTGAAAAAAAAAAACAGAAACCATCAAGGTTTCTGTTCCTGATTTTGTAAAGTTTTTTGGCTTTTTTTAAAGGGTTGATATCACAGTGTAAAGGAGCTTAATGGTTTAACAGGTGACCAATGACCAAGAAAACCTCGTATCTCCATTTTTGTTGTTTTTCAGTTTTTGACATAATTTGAAAATGCCTGTTGTCCTTTACATTGTATGTAAACTTCGTGATGGATGGACTAAAGGAAACGGCCCAAAATGGCTAGGAAAATGTCTGGTTCCATTGACTTACATTAAAAGTAAAGTATGTTTTTTCCCATCTCCTGTAAATTTACCATTTTGGAGATACAAGGTTTTGTTCCGACAGCAGCGATATGTAGTAATACAGTTTAATGTTGGATTATTTACTGTTTTGCATTTTGGAGTTTGTTTGAATGTGTTTATTTAGATAGATGCTGACCATTATTCTGTATTATGCTACATAAGCACAGCAGAAAATAACGTACAACTTATGCCTGGGCACAGATTCATCACAGCCTCAGAGAAGGGGAAGTCTACCCCTGCCTCCTGACAGTAAGTCATACTGCATTCATATTCTCTGGAATTGAGACTGCACTGCAGTGGAAAAGTGTTTGCCTAACTCCTGAAATTAATAGTATTATGGCAAAAAACTAGCCAGCTGAATGAAGTCAGTAGCACACAAATGGAGAAACTCAGAGGTGAAACTGCTGGAGAACACAGTAGATTTTTTTTCCTTACCTCATCTATCTGTACAACAGACAGGGGGCAGCAAACTGAAGCGTAGGTAAGGGTCACACTAACAAAACATGGAAGGAAGTATAACATGCTGAGAGTCACTCCTGACCAAGAAGTGCGATGAGTTGTGGTCCTGGTTGACAAATTTTTACAAAATTTGTAGTGGTGTAATGAGAGAACACTCCATAACCTGGATGTGTGCTTCCTTCCTCCCTTCCTTCCTTATTCAGTCATTTACTCATAACGAAAGGATGGGTTCAAATGAGGAGGAATGGATGGGTAAATGTTTGTGTTGTAAAATGACTTAAAACACTTTAAATATCATTTCAATGCCTTATGATGGAAAATACATTTTTCTCACTTTTTGAAGTTTGAAGCAACATGTAAACATTGTTAAAGTTTTAAAACTCACTAGAGATCAGAAGTCATTGTCATAATAATCAATACAGTAACATATTTTTAATGAATATATTTCTCAATTTCATAATGTAGTGAGGATTATGGTGCTGGGGAAGAACAGCCAGGAGAACAGAAGAGTGGGAAACTTCATCCTGAGAAGCAAAGCTTTTAATACTGAAGCTCCTCTTAGTTCAGTAGAGCAGCACAGTGAGAAAGCCAGAGAAAAAGCGGAAGGAAGAGACATCACACTCATCATCACAACTCAGCTGTTTGATACTGAACTCTCTGATGAGGAGCTGAGTGAGAGAGTGAAAGAGTGCATGACTCTTTGTGATCCTGGACCTCACGTTATCGTGCTGGTCATACAGCCAGGAGACTTCACTGAGGCAGACAGAAACCGACTGAATCACATCTTCAAATCTTTATCTGATGACGCCTTTAAATACACCATGGTACTGACAACACAGTCAGGCAGCAGTGTAGATCCAGAGGAAGAGAGCATCTCTGAGGAGAAGATTATAGAAAGGATTAAGTGGTATTTTGACCTTGAAAGTGAAAGCTGTCATTCTGCTCTTATGGAGAAGATGGAGAAGATGATTGAAGAGAATGGAGGGGAACACTTTCAGTGGGAGGAATTCATGATGGCTCCACTTGCAACAGAACAACAGCATCAAGAAACAGCAGCGCAGAAAAAACCTGAACAAACAGTGGGGAAAAATACTCCACAAAAAGACAGCAGACAGCAGAAGGAAACATGTAAGCACAGTTTTATGAAATTATTTTAAATTCACCACATTTATACAAAATAATTATAATAAACAAGATATTATAATTTCACCAGTGTTACAGTTTGTGATAATCAGACTGCAACACTCATGATAACAGTGGTTTTGGTCACTGACATTAATATTCCAAAAACAGCAGGAAGACCTTGGAGTCTATTCTCTCGTTTTGGAAAACAACATGACAGTGAGGGTGAGTTACAGTCAGTTATATTCTATATTAAATGTTTCTCAACTCATATATAAGCTTATGAATTAATTGAGTAAAATTTTTTATTTGTATTGAGTTTTTTATATCTTCAGTTTTTTTTACATCTTATTATATAATCTTAAAATGATTCATGTTTTGCTGTGACTTATTTTCATGTACCTCTTTAGTGTACATTTCTAAACCTGACAGGTTCCAGTTTGTTTCTCTTTCAGTGCCTCAGAGGTTGAACTTGGTGCTGTGTGGCAGTGATGGAGCACTGAAGGCCTCAGTATCAGATTTCATTCTGGGCCCAAGCCAGCGCAGTTCAGCACCCAGCTCAGAGTGCGTGAGGAGAGATGGAGCGGTGTCTAAGCGCTCGATCACCCTGGTGGAGATGCCGGCTCTCAACAACACACTTCACTCGGAGGAGGAAGTAATGCGAGAGGCTCTCCGCTGTTTTTCTCTGTGTGATCCAGGAGTCCATGCGTTCCTCCTCATCATTCCTGCTGATCCCCTCACTGATGAAGACAAAGGAGAAATGGAGAAGATCCAGAACATTTTCAGCTCCAGTGTCAACGATCATTTAATAGTTCTCTTTACAGCGCAGCAGGCTGACAGTATAGCTGAAAAATTTATAGAACACAACACTGACATAAAGAACTTTCTTTCTGTTTGTAAACATAAACATATATTAGTAGAAACGAAGAAGGGGAAAAAAAACAAGGAAACAAGTGAAAAACTGTTAGATGAAATTGAAAAAAAGACACAAACACAGCCATACTCTCTATACATGTATGTGAAAGCTCAAGAGGAAAGAGTCAGATGTGAACTACAGGAACAGTATAAAGAAGAGCTGAGCAAAAAGGAGAAAGAAATCCAGGAGTTAAAAAGGAAGTTCCAGCCAGAAGGTAAGCACTTCTTGTGTTTTCAGACCGATCCTTCAAGAGTAAATACACCCTAAGACCTTTTTTTTTCATTAACAGCTGAAATGCACTGCTCTGTAATAATAATATACGCCAGTCTTGCTTAAAATGTGAACACATCTTTCCAAACTAAAAATATCATTTTTATCATGGTCAGTTTCGCCTCTGCAGAGCCCCTCTGGTTCAACTCTGCTATAGGTGCGGACGAGGTGTCTTGGTATCGAAGTACGAAGACACCTCACACTATGCAAATCAGCCAAACAACGTTACCGCCCCCTGATAACGCCCTGCTTGTGCCACACTCAGAAATATGAAAGCGTAGGAGCCCAGAGTGAGGAGATAACCACACTCACACGCTGAGCTAAATACCCCCAGCACCACCAAACAAGGCTGCGATATGCCAGCTGTTTGTACCAACTATAAATAACCAATTAGTCTAAGCTTAGTTTGTAATAAAGATGTTGGACCGATTAAGTGAGGAGTCTTGCAAGTCTCCATAAAGCTGCTGGTGTTGCATCCGATTCATGTTTCCCTTCACAACTCAGACCCTCGCATGCCGCACTACCTTACTACCTTAGAGAACATGTGTTCTGTGCTTGTGAAAGAAAACGAAACCATTCGGGCGAAACCTGATGACCTCAAAAATTGGACACGAAGATATAACATCCGAGTCATCGGAATTCCCGAGCGCCTGGCTTCATCATTTCCAAACCAGGGAGTGGATATTCCAGCTGGCACGAGAGAAGGGGTGACTGTAGTTCCAAAGTAATCGGATCCGTATCTACCTGCGTTTTTGTGGCAATCAAACCTGCAAGGCCGGATTTGAGTACAGACTATATATATATATATATATAATATATATATATACATGTCTGTGTGTGTGTGTATAGAAGCTCCCCAGATGAGTCACCTTGCATGTTTACGGTGGTAGTAACTACAGGCTCCTGCAGATGTCGTTGCAGGATGATCAGGCTATAAATACCTGCAGGGTGTGTGATGGGATTCATAAGAGATTTAAAAGAGGTGGTGCAGTACAGCAAGTGTCTTGCTGGATGTGTGGAAAATGAGTCGCAAAGCAGATGTTAATAATTGGCAAAAGGGAGCGACTGCATTTGGCCAGCCAAAGGCCACAGTGAGAAGGTAGCTTATGCAGGTGTATTGAAGCGTATGGTCACACAGGTCGACCAGCAGTGGTGAAAATCACAGGCAACTCCTGTCAGAATTCACAGGCAACTCCTGTCAGAATTGTGACCAAAAGACAAAACTGACCATCAGGGACCGTCAGCGTGTTTCACAGCTCTAGATGTAAATATGAGGAAATAAAAGCTGAAATTCTAATCTGTCGTCTCTCATTCATCTTTTGATCTCAATCTCAGAACTTTTAGAGTAGACTGTTTTGAGAGAGAGGAAATGTAAAAAATGTAAAGATCTTAATTTTAAATGACAAATTGTAATTCTTGATCTGAATACTGATCTTACCAGCGCATTGCAAAATAATTACTTCTGCTAATGTCATTTTCAGGTAATGAAGATGAACCACAGGTTTCCAGCTGTTTAAGGGTGGTACTGATTGGAAAAACAGGAAATGGAAAGAGTGCGACAGGAAACACCATCCTGGGAAGAGATGTATTTAAAAGTGAAATGAGTTTGGGTTCTGTGACAAGGGTTTGCCAAAAAGGAGTTGGTGAGATTGAGGGAAAATCGGTTGCTGTTGTTGACACTCCAGGCCTCTTTGACACCAAACTATCAAATAAAGACACACAGCAAGAAATTGTGAAGTGCTTCTCACTGTTAGCACCCGGACCCCACGCTTTCATCATTGTGTTGAGTTTGGCAAGATTCACCAAAGACGAATTAGAGACTTTAGATCTGATAAAAATGACATTTGGTCCAAAGGCTGCAATGTTCACTATAGTGCTGTTCACTGGAGGAGATAAGCTGGGAAATAAGTCAATAGAACAAGTAATTGAGGAAAGTAACATTGAACAAATCAACAAGCTGCTCAGAGACTGTGGAAACAGATATATAGTATTTAATAACAACGAAAAAGAAAACCGCACCCAAGTTTCTGAACTTTTAGGACAGATAGAAATGATGATAAACTCAAACACGTCAAGTCAACACTTCACAAACAGCATGTTTGAAGAGGCAGAAATGTCCATCAAAAAGAGAATTGAAGAAATTCTGAAAGAGAAAGAGCGAGAGATCGAAGCTGAAAAGGAGAAACTGAAAAACAAATACAGCAAAGAAATGGAAGAGATGAAGAAAAGACAAGAGGAAGAAAAACAAAAGGCTGATGAAGAAAAACGCCAAATGGAGAGGAAGTTCAGAGAAAAGATGGAAACCCTCAAACAAGAGTTTAAAGAAAAAGATGAATTAGAGAAGAAGAAACGGGAGATGGAGGACAAGACGAGGTTAGAAGAAGAAAAAATACAAACAAAGAAATTGCAAAACAAAATTAAGAGGTTGGAAAAAGGTAATAAAAAGCAGAGAGCTGAATTTAAAAAACAGTTAAGTGACAGAGAAGAGGACGATAAAAAGAAAGAAGAGAGATACAAACAAGAAAAAGAAATTCTCAGGAATGAGCAAAAGCATGAAATGGAAGAGCTGAGAATGAGACAGGAGGAAGAGCGAAAAAGGAGAGATCTGGAAGAGGACAAAAGGAGACAAGAGGAAGAGAACGAGAGGCACATTTGGGAGAGGAAAATAAAAGAGGCTGAACACGAGAAAAAAGAGATACAAGAGGACCTAAAGCGTAGACAGAGCGAATGGGAAGAAGAAAAGAAAAGAGAGATGAAAAGACGGGAGGAAGAGGACCAGCTAAGAAAACAGAGACACGCAGAAGAGCTAAGAGCAAAACAAGAAGAACAAGACAGATTGAGAGAGGAATTTGAAAAGAAGATGGAAGAAGAAAGACGTCAGTGGGAGGATGAAAAACGACAATGGAGGGAAGCAGAGAGAAAAGAGAGTGAGCGAAAAGAAAGAGAGTATGAGGAAAAGAAACATGCAATGGAAGCACAATTAAAAGAACAGTCTGAGCAGAAGGAGAAAATGAGGAGGGAAGAGTGGGAGAGAAGAAGACGTGAGGACAATGAAAGAAGAGCAGAAGAGAGACAAAGATATCAGAAACTTAGAGAGGAGATGGAGAAAGAACGGCAAGAGGAGATTAGGAGGAGAGAGAGAGAAGACGCTGCAAGAAGAGAGAGAGAGGAGAAGGAATATGAGGAAATAAAAAAGAATTATGATCAGAAAATGGAAGAGATGAAAAATAAATATGAAGATGAAGCCAGAAAGCAGGCTGAGCAGTTCAACGAGTTCAATGATGAAAAAGAAAAACACTTCCAGGAGCTGATTAAAGAGCATCAGAAACAGTATGAACTTCTGGAGAATCTGTTTAAAAGCACCAAGGCTGAAAATACTGAGGAAATTAAGAAACTACAAGAAGAACTGGACAAACTAAATAATCAGTCGCAGTGTGCCATTCTTTGAGACTTGCTGTATAACATATTGAATAATAATACAACCCCAATGTGTAATGTGTAAAATGTAGTGATTTGCGAATCTCATAGTGTAAGGGTTCAGCCGGCCCCTCCTGCTGCCGGCAGAGGGCGACGGCGGCAGGGTGTCCAGCCTAGGCCGCCTGCTGCCAGCAGAGGGCAACGGCGGCAGGGTGTCCAGCCTGCGCCGCCAGCTGCCAGCAGAGGGCGACGCCAGCACAGGGCCATAACTTCAGGGAACTCCAATTCCCAGAAGTCCGCGGGCTGAAGAGGCCCAACGCGACACGCCTGCGGACTCCTCTACTTAAGGTCAAGGCAAACAGTGGTGTTTGTCACACCTTTGTAGAGGGGTGACTGGTACGGTACATAGTGTCAGAAAAGAAAAGAAAAAAAACTGCCCCAAAACTAAAAAGAAAAAGAAAAGAGGGCTGAGAAAAGAAATTGCCCCAAAACTAAAAAGAAAAGAAAAGAGGGCTGAGAAAAGAAATTGCCCCAAAACTAAAAAAAAAAAAGACGGCTGAGAAAAGAAACTGTCCCAAAGCTACTTAAAGGGGGGAAAAAAAACAAAAATAGAAGAGCTGTTTGCTCCACCAGGAGCAAACAACTGAAACAAAGTCTGCCTTCCCTTCGTTCTTGGAGTGGAAGTGTTTTTTTGTTTTCCTATTATCTGTCCTTTTGCCTTTCTAGTTCAGCCTTTGTTTGAGCACGCTGCTCTCAGCATCTCTTTTGTCTGCCGTTCGTCGTTTTCCCACCTTTTCTTTTCCCCCTTCCTTGAGGTGTTTTGCCTGTAGACACCTGCGCTCCTCAGTGGCGCAGTGGTAACGCCACGAAGCGCCGATCAGTACATCGCCGGTTCGAACCTGGCTTTGGGTAACCTCATATGCGTGTTTCAAACTCACAACCCAGTGCCACACTAAACCCATTTTTCCATTTTTCTCTGTTTCCATTTCTGCACTTGGGTCCACCTCCCCGCCGTCCCGTAACACACAGACCCATATTTTATTCACAATAAAACATAGAGCACATATCAGATGTTGAAAGTGAGACATTTTACCATTTCATGAAAAACATTAACTCATTTAGAACTTGATGGCAGCAACGCATCTCAAAAAAGTCGGGACAGGGCCGTGTCTACGATTGAGTAGCATAACCTCTTCCTTTAACAACAGTCTGTAAATGTCTGGGAAGTGAGGAGACCAGTTACTGGAGTTTTGGGAGAGGAATGTTGTCCCATTCCTGTCTGATGTAGGAATGTAGCTGCTCACAAATCCAGCTTGCTGGATTTTTCGTTTCATGATGCGCCAAATGTTTTGTATTGGTGAAAGGTCTGGACTGCAGGCCAGTTCAGCACCTGGACTCTTCTTCTTTGAAGCCATGCTGTTGTGATGGGTGCAGTATGTGGTTTAACATTGTGCTGCCGAAATATGCAAGACCTTCCCTGAAAGAGATGCTGTCTGGTTGGGAGCATGTTGCTGTTGTCGGAACAAAATCTCTAAAATGGTAACTTTACAGGAGAAGGAAAAAAAACACACTTTACTTTTAATGTAAGTCAATGGAACCAGACTTTTTCCAAGTGATTTTGAGGCGTTTTATTTTGGTCCATTCATCAAGAAATTTAAACACAATGTAAAGAGTAACAGGTATTTTCAGATTATGTCAAAAATGGAAAAACAACAAAAATGGAGATACGAGGTTTTGTTCCGACAACAACAATATGTTGTTCTAAAACCTCTATATACTGTTCAGCATTGATGGAGCCTTTGCAGATGTGTAAGTTGCCCATGCCATAGGCAATAATGCAACCCCACACCATCAGAGATGCAGGCTTTTCAACCGCGCTGATAACAAGCTGGAAGGTCCATCTCCTCTTGAGTCCGCAGGACACGGTATCCGTGGCTTCCAAAAAGAATTTCAAATTTTGACTCATCTGACCACAGAACAGTTTTCCATTTTGCCTCAGTCCATTTTAAATGAGCTTTTGTCCAGAGAAGACGGTGGCGTTTCTGGATCGTGTTGACATATGGCTTCTTCTTTACACGATACAGCTTTAACTTGCATTTGTGGATTGCACAGCAAACTGTGTTCACAGACAATGATTTCTGGAAGTGTTCCTGAGTCCATGCAGTGATTTCCAGTACAGCATCATGCCTGTTTTTAATGCAGTGCTGTCTGAGGGCCCGAAGATCACAAGCATCCAATAGTGACCGTCAGCCTTGTCCCTTGTGTACAGGGATTTCTCCATATTCTCTGAATCTTTTGATGATATTATGTACTGTAGATGATGGGATATTTAAAGTATTTGCAATTTTAGGTTGAACATTTTTCTGAAAGTGCAGATTGGTGAACCTCTGCCCCTCTTTGCTTCTGAGAGACTCTGCCTCTCTAAAATCCTCTTTTTATACTCAAGTCATGTGAGTTAGTTGCAAATTGCTCTTCCAGCTGTTTTTTTATTAGTACCACTTACTTTTCCAGCATTTTTTTGCCCCTGTCCCAACTTTTTTGGGATGTGTTGCTGCCATCAAGCTCTAAATGAGTTAGTGTTTTTCATGAAATGGTAAAATGTCTCAGTTTCAACATCTGATCTGTGTTCTATGTTCTATTGTGAACAAAATATGGGCCTATGAGATTTGCAAATCATTGCATTCTTCAAATCAGTGCATTTTTATTTACATTTATTTACATTTTACACAGCGTCCCAACTTTTTTGGAGTTGGGGTTGTGCTTCTTAAAAGACAGTGAAATGTTCATAAAATTATGTCAGCTATTTTAACATTTCATTTGTACTTTTTGACTGTCGAAGTAAGATGACGATATTACAAATGCTAAACATTTAATGCTTCTGAGCTTGCTGTTATTTTTAGTTTAGTTAAAATTGCTTTTTAACTCATCTGATATTATCAGCATTATAAATATGCATGTTCCTCATAACTGTATGATCAATCTTTTAGTAAAGACGAAATGTATTCATTCCAAATGTTGCCTGTGTTTTACTCAAACACACTTTCATGATACTCCAGTCCACAACCACACATACATCATCTAAGCGTCTTGTCCTCCTGGGTCGCAGAGGATGCTGGAGCCTATCCCAACGGTCACTGGGTGGAAGGCAGGAAACACCCTGGACAGGTCGCGAGTCCATCACAGGGCAGACAGACAGATATATTCACACACACATTCACACCTAGGGGCAGTTGAGCATCTCCTAAGGGCCTGACTGCATGTCTGTGTGCTATGGGAGGAAACCCACACAGACACAGGGAGAACATGTAAACTCCACACAGAAAGGACCCTGGTCGCCCGGCCAGGGAATCGTACCAAGGCCCTTTTTGCTCCACAACCATCTACTTTTAAACTATTATTCCAGGGGTGTCAAACTTTGGGCCTTCCAGGCCACAGCTCTGCAGTAATTAGTGATTACTTCTAATACTCAATTCATGAAGGCAGGGATGAAAGCAGCTGCCTAGCTTCTTTCTTCATCTCTTCTTTCATTTGTTTATTAGTTATTTTAGCAGTCCACATGATCTAACAGCCTGTATATGATATGCTTCCTCCAGTCACAAAATATGAGCATATGCAGATTTTTTTTTTTTGCAGTGGTGGTGATAGGAACCAGGGGTCACAATGTCTACAACACAAATACAGCCATTTTATTTACCACTGAAAATGACCAGTGAACCTACACGTGTCTTCTGAACCTTTACATGTAATGTTCATGATGGTAAAATGATGATAAATCTGAAAACAAAGTTTTCTTTTGGGACTACTTTGCCTTATAACATCCTGCATGCACTTCTCCATACTCACATAAAACAGTGTCTCACACATCAGGCAATATAGGTATAAATACTGCATATTTCATTTGAAATCTGAATGTCAAATTTTCATATTTCATTTGGAGGAATTAAACTCTTCAGACGTCTGGTTCCTGAAACCACCCCTGCAAACAATTGTGACCCAGTAAGTTTCTCTAGACTGTAGTATTTCACTGAACCACTCTGAATGACTTTGTTTACCTCTTAACCACTTAATTACGCAGAAATTTAGAAAAAAAAATGGTGGAATTCCCCTTTAAGCAATAGAACGTGAAAGGGGGTGTCTCATCATGAATAACATTACAGTGGTGATTTGGTTACAAATGTAGTGCTGATGGACTGGAGAAATAACACTGTAATGACAAAAATTATGATAATGAAAGAATTTACACAGATGATTATGGCCTTTCAGTCATTATCATTTAGCAGCCATAAATTTATTTTGTTATTTTACTTTGACATAAGTTTATTTCTACCTCATAAATGTCCACAAATGGGTTGAAAATTCTCCCCCATTCTCTAATGGCAGTCTATAGTACTACATGACGGTCAGGCTAATTAGCTGATTACACTTTCTCAACATGAACATCAATTTCATGAAATTAAATTTTATGGAATTAAAGTTGGGACAGTATGGAAAAAGCAAATGAGCAGTGATTTCTAACTATATAATTTTTTTTTGACCTGTACTCCATTGCAGACAGTATGAACACAAGATATTTCATGTTTTGTCTGGACGAACGTGATTTTGCTCTGTAGGCATGTTTAATATGCTATGTGACAGAATCTTACGGTTATGACGACAAATATAACATTTTCTCAGTTAAGTTCAATTAATATCAGTATGAAATTTATCTGAAAGCTTCTACAACTTGCCTTCACTTTCTTCTTCATCACTAACCTCCATCAGATCTGCTCCCTCAGCTCTGTCAGTCTCCTTCAGCTTCTTTCTCTCCCGCTCTTCCTGTGTTTCATAATGCATTCATTTTATTAAACTCAGATTTACAAGAACTCAAGAAAATAATGATCAATTTAATTATTGTTTTTGTTTTACCTGGTAAAAATCTTCTCATCTGACTGGCCCTCAAAGGAGCTCCTGCCTCTTAATTTATATCTACAGGTTGAGGAATTAAGGGGTATGAAACTGTGTTATGAAGACCTTTTCACACAAAGCTGAAGTAGCTTTGAATTTTTACCGTTCCACCCTAAATCCTGCAGCAGTTTCATTCTGGTGCTTTACAGCAGGAAAATCTGAACAGGAATCTGGTGAATAGGAAGCGTCTTCAGCCTTGTCCTTTTCACTGACATTAACTTACTGTAAACAACAATATATGGCAAATACTGGTGTCATTCCTTCCAAATCTAAAAACAAAGAATATAAAGAGCTGTTAATAATCTCACACTCAATATGAAGTAAATTTAAACCAGAGACTCTATGGACTCTATGTTGTCCAACACAAGACCCATAATCCTATCCAACCCGCAAAAGTGTTTTAATTTTCTATTAAGATTAGCTCATTTCACAGTCCACTGCATTGTAATGTGTGCTCTGACTCTCCTACCCAGACAACAGTCTATGGGACAGCGGTCACACCTCAATTCTACACAATTCTACACGGTTCCACACCAGTCATATCACCTAACAACTAACTGCAGTTTCGCCAATATAAACACTTAATGTTTGCTCTGCAGCTCAGACATTGAGCCCAAGTCTTTATGAACTTGCAGCAAAGAAAGGATGTCAAGTGTCTCGTTCAAGCAGACAGGTAGGTTTAAAAGACTGAGCTCCTGTGGACTTATTTGTGAAAATTATGAATATTTAAAGTATTCATGTAATCCATTCATGGTCTACTACAAGTGCCTATATTTTACTGTTGTTTCTGTGTATTTTGAACAAACAGTGGTCAGTTTGGTTGGATATGTTGAGATTTGTTAATATGGCCCTTTTAGTGGTTGAGTTTGACTCTCCTGTTCTGTGGGTTACAGTATCTGGCTTGTCAGCTAGTTAGCTAATGTTAGTGTTAGCCTAGCCTCTTTTCTTTACCTCACTTAAATCCA